CCAGCTGCCCAGCCACTCAACCAGGCCCACCCAAGTTGACACACAAACATAACTACCACAATCCCCTTGTTCTGTTTAACAGCAGACCCTTGGTCTAAAACCATGCCCCAGCCAAATTGACACAGAACCTTAACTACCACACCTGCTTCCCCACTTTGGATATTATCCAAGCTATGAATCCCCAAATCAAATGCCTTCAGGGTTCAGCAGGCTGGTATAAGACAAGGTGGAGTGGTAGAATCAAACCAAACCCACTGCCTTCCAGTCGATTCTGACTCATAGTGGCCCTGTAAGATAGAGTCAAATTGCCTCATAGGGTTTCCAAGGCTATAATCTTTATGGAAGCAGAGTGCACATCTTTCTCCTGTGAAATAGCTAGTAGGTTCAAACCTCTAGCTTTTTGGTTGGCAGCTGAATGCTTTAACCACTGTGCCACCAGGACTCCTCAATAGTAAATATGCAAAAATTTATTTAAATCTAATAACAAAACACATCTGAGAGGTCTGAGGCCTGCAGCTATCACTCTGTAAACCTGGTGAAAGCTTATTGCTGCTGCCTCTTTCTTAGAGTGCCATTGTTTGCTGACCTATCTATCCAATGATGCAGAAATAGGGAAATAAAGGATAAAATATGATTATATCAATTATTGTGTAGGTTGAAGTAGTTGGTGGTTTAATTTATCCCTCTATCCTTGTCCTTCAGTACCAGGGATGATTATGAGTTTATTATATATTGCCCAATTTTTCTCAAAGAAATAAGAAATTTATCAATACAGATTTAAATTCTTCAGTATGATTTCTGTTGCACTATATAGATTTTATTTGCATCATTTATCTGAAACTTTAGGTTTTAAGAGTTTTTTCTTTATAGATAGAGAAATTGTGACTTTTAATTGTGGAATATTAATCAAATTATATCATGGCAATGAGAAAGCAACTTCCTGTTAGTTAACAAGACATACATGAAGGTGGTGAACATATGAGTTTTGAACACCCTAAGGAGCTCTGGTAGCATAGTGGCTAAGGCACTTGACTGCTAACCAGAAGGCTGGCGGTTCAAACCCACCAGCCACTCCTCGGAAGGAAGATGGGGCAATCTACTTCCGTAGTGATACTGCCTCGGAAACCCAAGGAGGGGTCGCTATGAGTCGGGTCTGACTCGACGGCATATAACAACAACAACAACAACAACAGTCTTAATACATGTCTTCATATGTGTTATCAGTAACTTTTATTTCTGAATTTCATATAGCCCAATGGATAGTAGGGAGAAGAATGGCATTTTAGGACAGAGGTTAGCAAACTTATTCTGTAAAGGTTCAGATAAACCAAAAGCCAAACTCACTGCCATCGAGTCAGTTTGACTCATAGCTACCCCTCCTTGGGTTCCCGAGGCAGTATTTCTACAGAAGTAGATGGCCCGATCTTCCTTCTGAGGAGTGGCTGGTGGGTTTGAACCACCAGCCTTTTGTTAGCAGTCAAATGCCTTAGGCACTATGCCACCAGAGCTCCCAAAAGGTTCAGATAGTAAATATTTGAGATTTTCTAGGTCATATGTTCTCTGTTAAAATAATTCAGCTCTGCTGTTGTGCCACAAAAGCAGCTATGAACAGTGTGTAAATGAATGGGAATGGCTGTGTTCCAATAAAATTTTATTTGCAAAAATAGGCAGCAGGCTGAATTTGGCCCACAAGTATAGTTTGCTAACTAATACTCTAAATATGCTTAGAACACAGAAGGACCTTAACCACCCAGTACCCACTATATCCTCTGTTTTGAAGAGGATGCCGAGAATTTTTTAGGACATCTTGCTCTTTTATTACCTATTTCTATTTTTTCACAGTTCAGTAGCTCATATATAACATTTGTCACAATTACCTCTACCTCACTTTCATTTTCCCATCACATGTCAATTCCATTTGTTATCTTTAAGATGCTTCAGCATATAAACCTCTGTACTTGGGTGTTCTTGGTTCTTGCCTTGCCTACTCCATCCCAACTTGTACCTTGCTTGCTATCTTATTAAATTTACTTTAACTAGGCCCTTCTTGTATACCTTAAGGGAAATATTAGCTGCAAATTTCTCTTAAAAAATGTATTCATGACATTCTGATTTAATATTTACAGTTATAGAATCAATCACTTTCTGAGTAGTCATCCCAAAGCCTAGCTCC